GTTGTGATATTTACAGAAAGCATTGTCATCCGTTCCCATGAACTGTCCAGAGTCAGTCGGGATGGGAATATTGTCCCTCTCGTTCTGATAGATGGCCGCTATTGATAGGACCAGGGGTGTAAATCTCCCTTGTTTGGGAGGTAAAGTGGCCGCTGGGCTAGGACCCAGCCGATCGGCCAGTCTGATCGGGGCAGCAGGCGTAATGACCTTATCCCTGATCATTATCTCTTCTTCTAGGGCAGCATGCTTGCGAGCCCTATCCAACACCTCGGCGTACGCCGTACCCGGATTCTTCTTCAATTCTTTGTACAACTCCCCCGTTCGGAGAGCATTTGTGAACAGGGTAATGGCGGTATCATCCGTCATGTTTTCCACTGTTAAAGTTTCATCCCTCCACCTTTTCAGGAATTGGTTGAGGGTCTCCTTGGCGTTTTGCTTCACGCTGGTCAAATAGCTGAAGTGCCATTTGGGATTGGCACTGGAAGCAAATTGAGCCAAGAATAACGTTGATAACTCGGCGAAGCTATTGATTGACCCGGGTTGTAGTGTCCCGAACCATTCCTGGGCAGGCCCCCTGAGCGTGCTGAAAAACAACCGGCAAATGGCGGCCTCGGGTGCTCCTAGCAGCATAAGTCCGCCTTGGTAACTCCTCAGATGTACGTGGGGGTCTCCCACCCCATCATAAATTTGGCCGGTCGGGGGCTTGGCACCCCCTTGGATATCCGCGTACATGAGCTCCCTAGTAAACGGGGAAGTAATCCCCAGCTGAACTGGCGCAGGTTGTACAGGTACCCTGTTCATCTGGTCCCGCATTTCATTCATTTGCCTCCTCATCTCGGCCATCTCTTCCTCCTGGGCCGTCAAAGGGGGCGGTGGTGGAACCCTCATATCCGCACAGTCCCGGTCCCAATGCCGCTGAGGGGCCCTAGTATTTGCCCGCTCGGCATACTGGAAATGATGACCGACGGGAGTTGGTCCTCTTGCTTGCGACCCGACCGGGGTTCGGTCACTGGGACTGGGATGCGCTGCTGGTGGGGCGCTACGTCGATTATCCCGATGAGTATGCGAACGGGATGACGCTGTGGTCGTTTCCGCGCGTGGAGTTTCTCCTGTAAAGCTGGAACCTTCTTCTTCGTTCGCCATGTGCTGCATGAATTGGGCCATGTCACGCATGGCCTGGGGATTTCTCCTCAGAGATTCGGGAATCACAAAATCCCCATTAACACGAGGATATGATCCTCGACTGGTTTGTCCCTGAGGGTTTTGACTCCCCGGGGTGTGACTCCTCCTGTGACGGTGTGAACCGTCGTTTGTATGATAGGAATTGATTCTGACCATTTTTTAGAAATAGATGTTTTTTGGATGTTTAGAAAGTGAAACTTTTTGCAAGTTTCCCACAGACGGCGCCAATGTTGAGGGTAAGTCCCGTAGATCCGAAAGCCCAACACGAACTTTGGATATATCAGGAATGGCCCAGAATCAAAGCGTAAAAGAAAATATAAGATCTGCACTAACTAAAACTCGAAAGCTCACTTGTATTAATTAACCAATCTGATTACAAGGGATTTCCCGATCGGTAAGTCGGAAACTATGCTTTAATACAAGAAATAAGAGCAAATGATGCTATTCTAGAGCTTGAGTATTGAAATGCTAACCCTTACAATGATTTGAAACCTTCTATTTATACTAATGGAGAGCATGGGCTGCCTCTCGCTGATTGGCCGTTGTTCCACCGACTTGGTCATCCATGCTTCCACTTGCTGATGTCATAGTCTGGCATTAACTGCACCTGGCCACTTGCTGGTTGGCCGTTGCTCGAACGGGATGTTGGACCGTACTGAAGATGCTGTCAAATTGGCCCAAGTATAATATATAGCCCGAACCTCGTTCGGTGTGTCTTCTTACTGGGCCAACCTTTATTTGGTCCGGACCCCGTTCGGCATGTCTTCTTACTGGATCTTTTCATCATAGAGTGATGGGCCTGTTACTTGGGCCGGATATCTTGGGCCTTCCCGATCTGGGTATTGGGCCTCTAGGTCAATATCCCAACAGTTACTTTTCTCGATCAAAAATGATGTGTGTACCCACTCTTATACTCATTTTTATACTCACACATGTTTGTGAATGTTTTTTTGTCTGTAAGGTCCGTTCACAGACAATATTTTGTTTGTGCAAAATTTGCACAGACAAAATAACATTTATTTTGTTTGTGAACAGGATTAAGACAAAAAAAACTTTCACAAACATGGATGAGAATAAGGGTGGATATATCAAAAGCATTGTTGTCTTTCTTTCTTCATTATTTATCTACCGTATCTCCTTCATTTATTTCTTCAGCTTTTTCTTTATTTCTTCAGCACCTTATATCTTCAGGAAAAATGGAGATGGATCTGTTGAATGGGGATAAAGCTCTCTCTGTTAGCTCCGACTACTCCTCCTCGCGACTTGGTTGTTCCAGACAATTATTGGGTAGTTCTGGACTCTCCTCGCATTATTGTGGCTTGGGAGGTTGAATGTTCAATAGCAATTGCAAGAAGTAATTAAAACCAGTCTCCCGATGAATATGATGCGTGAGGACACGACCGTCATCATCCTATTTTCGGTCTCAAGGACAAGCGAATTATGAAGTTTTTCGAAATACTTTAGCCATACCAGTGTAATGAGAAAGAAGGTTGTACGAGAAGTAACTTACGTGGCTATCTGCATGTAATTTGGGGATTAGGTTATGAATAATTTTTATGCTTTGAAATTTTGGGTTATGCAAATTTATGTTGTTTTTAGCATGAATCGAATGCCCTGATTTGTTGTTTTTTGGGTTTTGTTATTTTTTTGATGGGTTCTGCAAATTTTATGATGATTTCGGTTTTACATTTCAAAACTTGATACCACGGTTTGCTTGATTCAATTTATTTCGGTTCGATTTCGGTTTTTTACTAAAAAATATCATTTGATATAAAATGATACACTAGTTAGGAGACCAAATGTATTACATAAAAATGCAAGCATGCTAGAACAAATCAATTAGAAAGAGGAATAATAAATTTGTCTTGAATAATATGAGTATGCATGAGAGAAAACATACTTTTGATACTTTTTTGGAACATAAGTCTATATATTCTTATTTTACATTTGTGTGACTAGTTTGAAAATAAATTTCATTAATATTTACGGAGTACATTCTAAGTAGTATAGTTGAGAAAAATATTTATTTATATTGTCAATACAAAATCTTTAGGTTAAATAAAAACAAATGTTACTAGTAATAAGCAGTAATACACATCAATATTATACAACAAATTGCAAAGTACATATGTAAAAGACATAATATATCAATATAGCTATATTATTGTTGGGAATGAAAGTGTAAATGCATTTATAAATTAAACTAAATCACTACTATAAAAACTTAACGTTTAATAAGAAATGCGTACTATGTATAATGTAAAACACTAATTTTCTAACACAAGAAAATTAGTGTTTAACTAGTAACAAATAAAACTTCATATTTCAATTAGTTCGGTTTACTTGGTTTTTTCGGTTTCGAAGGGCTAAAACCCAAACCGAATCAAACAACTATGATTCGGTTTGATTTTTACATTTGCATTGGTTTCGGTTTAGTTTGGTTACGATTCGATTTATTTTGATTTGGCTTTTGATTTTTCAGATCCGTCCCTGTTCCTAGTTTATTTAGTCTACGTTTAAGTTGTAACTTGGACTGCTTCAAACCACTTACTGCCACATTAGCAAGTCCTCCACACTTTTTATCTTTACCAAATGAAGGCATAGGGACTTACAATCCCGAGGTCTAACAACATCCAACAACGTGCTAGATTTGGGTTTGCAAGAGTGTACTCATGTCAAAAGGAATTTACAGACGGTCTTCTTGACATTGCAGAGAAAACCTTACCAAAATTGTACAAAATCATTCAAATAAAGAGAGATTATTTATTTTCTAATATTTATGTGACTATCTCTCATGCCACATGTGCACCGTGCACATCGTAGCATTGAAGATGCTTTTAGTAGAAGGAAACACCGCAAAGTCATAAGCTAGAAGGATATCAAATCGTTGGAAACCCTTCTAGAATATTGGTGGCGAGATAGCGCAACTCCTTACATTTGTTGAATAGCAAATCCTCACCTTCGTCGTGCATATCCTCTTTCAAACTTAGCGACTGAGTTTGAGACGCCTAAAACCCCGGAGTAATCGTTGCCATCCATCAGCCTGCCATTGCCGAAATAACCCTTTGCCGGTTGTTTTCCTTAGCGGCTTTAGCGCCGTATGCTCGTACTTCTCTTTTTGTTATTTTTGAAAAGAACAAGATCTCAATTATCACTAATTGAATCAAAATTCAATACATGTGTAAGGAAATTTGGAGGAAATAAAAACCACGAGTGACGATTATGCATTGAACAAGTAGCTTGAGCTAACTCATGAGATACTTACTATTCACAGATTGCCTAACATGTGCAAATGAAATGTCAAAAAAAATTAGCCCGTTGATACTCCCTTCGTAACATACATATCCCCACTTTCCTTTTTTAATCATAACTAAATAATCTTCTCATTTCTAAATCTTTCCATCATATTCTCAATAATTTTGAAAATAATACACTATTACACCTACTTTTTTTGGACTTATCCTTCATTCCATTCCACTATTTCATTATCTTCCTATAATACCCTCAATAATTTATATATCATTTCACTACTTATAAGTCTTTACTTAGTTTCAAACAATTCTTGTGTACTCTGTAACAAATTTTCTATTTCATCTAATATATTTCATTAAAGGATTTTCCCCTGTATGTACTCCATTTACTATTCATCCCCAGTAATTTTTATTCATGGATCCACCAGATGAACCAGAAACAAACACCAGTATCTTTGTTCCAATTATGATTCTCGTAAAATAGGGCAGGGCCCAAGTTGGATCTAATTAAACTTATTAAGAAAATCTTGAATTCATGTTTGCATTATATAGTTTAAAACTATAGTTGCCCGGGAATTCGTATTCGTAAAGTATTCTATTCTTTCATGGTTTAATTCCTCATTCAAACACTTGCAGTTTCCCCTACAAATCCTAGAGAAAGTAGTAGGAGCTAGCTGATTGAGTATTAGTGTGTTTTTATATATCCTATCCAAGATCAAATCTACACTGATGTAGTGAAATAACTACGGTTTGCATAACAGTGTTGACTGGTCAGGACAAGTGTGGACTACGTACTACAGCTCAGCGTTACTACTAGACTTGTGATTCTTCTCCATTTGTTCCTTCTTTGCTCTCCACCAATCACTTAACTTGTAAGAAGCCGTGGCGATATGGTTCTTCAGCATCTGGCCTGTATCCGCTATCCCTTTGCTAATCTTCTGCTTCCAATCTAGCTCCTTAGTCCCTTTTTCTTTTATAGGTTTTCCCTGAGAGTACCACTCTTGAATTAGTCATAGGGTTCTACCCCATTGTTTTAATAAAGCAATTGACATCAAACCACTGTGATACGAAAACTGCTTGGTGGTATACTGGGGAACATTACCTAGGTGAGATTATAATAATTCAAAGACATGGGAGGCTAAGGACTTGTTTGGGTCGGGGATGTCAGAGTGGAGGGAAGGGGAGATCTGGCTACTACCTCCGTCCCAACTCCCAATAAGCAGCTTTGTTTGTTTAATATTCATTGCTCAACACTGCCCTTTTTACTCTCTGATTGAGTATCAAGTTTTTATCATATTCAAATTCAGTTTTTGTGATTCATTAGAACTTTTTATGTAGTTTCTAGTTATGTGAGTTTTAAATATCAACACTAAATTAAGAGAGTTTAAAGGAAATTATCATCCGTGGACCATTGTAAACCGGAACAGTCAAAGTCTATTAAGATGGAGAGACTAATTCATTTCTATTTCTTAATCTTTAACTAGAAATAACTCCGTCATCAGTTAAATCATGTACTCTATACTTTTTCTATCTCTTCACATTATCATCAACCAGCTAAAATGTAGAAGTTATTTCAAAATAATATATCACCCATCCATTCCCTCTCTTCTGAATCCTTGAACCAAACAAGTCCTTAGAGTCTAGGTGGAACCAAAAAAAGAAGTAGACTTTTTTTTTATTGACATCCGGTATCCTCGGTTACCCGAGACTAATCCGGAGCCTTGTGACCCTAGCCATCAAAGGACCACAAGGAGGTAAACCAGCCTAGGTTGCCCATAGCTGACCGGCTCACAGCTTGGGGAGGTCACAATAATCACACCCATTATAGGATTCGAACTTAATCCCCCCCCCCCCCCCCCAAAAAAAAATAGACTTGAATTTATAGATAGGTGCAAAGAAGTAGAGTTCAATGTGTACCCAATCCAAGGAGAGGTCGATCTCATCATCATTATCACTACCACCAAAGTTTTGGTTCATCAATTCATCCCGGGAGTACACTTCCACGCTGGGCGCTCCAGGCATACTCTGAAGAACAATAAGTTGATATATATAGAGTGCTCATGGAAATAATAATAAAAAAAGAAGATTCTTCTTTATGTCTCTCACTGAGGCAACAATAAATATACCTGCATAGCTTTTAGTATCTTTTCCACTTCAGCATCTTTTGGGGGCTTTGGAAGGAAAGGTTCTCCAGGTGCCCTATCCTATTTCAAAATAGAAAAAGCTTCTTCATCATCATAACCCCAGTGCCGCAAAGGCTCCCACCTACGATGGGGTAAGGGGGTCAAATGTACACCGCCTTACCCAATTACCCCTGTACTAAAGCATAGACTGTTTCCGGATGACCCATAGTAAAAATCGCGTTGAAAATTGTATAGACTGACTACTGCTTCATAACAAAGAAGCGCAGACAGTTTAGAGAGCATTTTGATTTATTCCATCATATTCCCAAGCCAAAAAATAGTGAATCTTTGGCTCCATTGCAAATGATGGGAAAAACTAGAAAAAGCTTATGTGCTTAAAAATTTAAGAATATTTTCACTTTGTGAAACACAATACCAGAATGGAGGTGATTAAGAGATGACCAATTTTTTTGCTCAGAGCCGTTACCTTAGGAACAGGGGGTGGCATCCTGCTACATGCTTTGGATAGATCTTTGCAGAGAAAATTTAACAGAGAATCAAGTTCAGGGTTGTTGTACAAATACTCTGCTACATCAGTATCAGAATAGTCCATAACCTGAAACCCACAGAGTAGGAAGCTACTGACCTCAAGACCAACAAAACTAAACTTCTGTCAAGAATATATTAGCTAAATCAAGAAATGTTCTGAACATGAGTTTTCCCTCTTTTAGTCTGACAATGACACCTTGGTACTTGTTTTTGCATATTCTCACTTTCAGTTCTTTGATTAATGTAGGATGGACACTTCCAATACCATTTTTGAGCTTGTACACTTTTAATCATCTAAATATTGTGAAAGTGGCCGTTTTGATCCGCCAACTATTGTCACAATGACACTTTTGGTCCTCCGACTACTCTTTGGTCCTCACAATTGTTTGGGATATCAAAGATGTGACTCTCATCATAGTCACACAACTAAATGTGAAAAAAGAGTTAGAGGACTCAAAGTGCAAAAAATCAAAGAAAGAACCAAAAGTGTCATTGTTACCAATCACAGTGTCAAAATCATAAGGAATAGGTTCAGGTAGGCCCTTGAACTTACATAAAAAGGTCAAATAAGCCCTTATATAGGAGACTCTGTCCGGCCGTCGCCATTAGGGACGGTTCCTGGTGGAATTTTTTGATGAAATTTTTTGAGAATCTTATTCATTAAGTTTAGTTTACTCATACTAAATTCCAGCTAAAACTTCAATCGGGAAGGCATTCAAATGAATTATTGAAGATAACTGCGCAGTTAAAAGCGCAATTATCTTCAAGAATTCATTTGAATGTCTTTCCAATTAAATTGTTATCTGATATTTGGTATGAGTAAACTAGACTTAATGAGTAAGATGCTCAAAAAAATTCATCAAACAAATCTACCGGGAACTGCCCCAAATGGCGACGACCGGACAGAGTCTCCTATATAAGGGCTTATTTGACCTTTTTACGTAAGTTCGTGGGCCTATTTGACCCTTTTCCCAAATCATAAAAAGAGTGGGAAAGTAGACGACCAAGTAATAGGAAGTCCAATATTCATTACAGACACAAAAAGCTAAGATTTTACACTTCACACCATCTTCTTAAGAAAACAATTTAATTTAGTATCAAGTTTTAGAAAGGCCCATCTTTGAAGTGGGGAAGAAAGGAATGAAAGTTTATGCTCCCACCACCGTGAAACAAATCTGTTTTTGCATTTCATTGATTGAAAGATTTCCAAACGTAAATGGGAAAATTTAACCATAAAATGCAAACACCTTAAGAACACAACAGGCAAGATATCTTACTTCTTGACAAGCACGTTCAACTGTTTTGCATTCTGAATTGCATTGTCCTTCAGAATCTTGTTCAATAAGCTGGGCATGAATAATAACACGTTAAATCTAGATTACCCAGAAGAGTTCAAGAAGTCGTAAACAATCTATGATTCTCAAAAGAAATGCAGCAAAAGATGAACATAATTAGCAGAAACAAGTGAACATAAATGTGGAAGTTTACCGCCAACCTATCTCCTTCTTCTACGATATCAATTTTGAGAATCCAATCAGCTTCTTGTTTCTTTAGATTACAGACGCTCTCTGAAATCTCAATTATCTGGTACTCTGAGATCTGAAATCATATTATTATATGTACTTTACTCCATGCACATGATATATAAAAGAACTGAAAATATAAATTTACCAATCATACACTTCAAAGTAAAAAAAAACATTTCTGCATAATATAAATGAGCCCAAACAGAACATTTGAGCACTTAACTGAACATATAAATTTACCAATCATTGTTAAATAAGATTGCAAAACCCAGGAGAAGGTATCATAAAGTTCATCATTAATGACACTTAACTTGTTCTACTTGTCCATGGCAAGAAGAGAGGATAACCCTCATAACCTAACTCTTATACTTCCTCCGTTTTTTTAATTGCAACGCGTATGAAATAACTATGAAATACATAACCAATATAGAGCTTCCGATTTTTCCATATAAATTTGAGTTCCAACCCTATTTTCAAAATTATTCAATAAATACCTGGCGTATGAAAATTCTGTTAAACATAGGATACAAAGTCCAATTTGGAAGAAAATGTAAGTATTAACATATAAATGTTTAAAGATGTTTATATTAATTATTTTGAAAAGCAAACTCAAATTGAAAATCTGGGTATAAATTCCAATCTGCATGTTGTTTCCCCTACACAGATTGAAGAGGTGTAATAGTTCATAGGGACTTCTATGTAATTTGTGATTCTCAGATTATTATATATATAACACTATCACACCCTATTAGGGTGAGGGATTATTCCATAATTATTATATTTTCATAATAAATTCCAACTCCCCTGAAGATAGAGTTACCTTGTTGGGTGCGATTGCTGCTTTCTTTCGCTGAACTTGATGGAAGAGTTGATAAGCAAGCATCTCACAGACCTGGCATTTGATGTATGGAATGTCCTCTTTCCTTGCCGTTGCTTTCTTCGCGCACACTGATATTGGAGAAGAAATAGCTGCAGCAGATAACAATACCCACAATGCCAAATCCTCAAACTTCAACATTTTCTGTCAGAATTTTCCCGAGCTTCTCTGGGATATAACTGTTATTTAAACTATGATGATGGGAGTCTCACTGTTGGCGTTCTTCCGTGAATTGTGGAAGCATGGAAATGGCGTTATAGTAGAAGGACGATCCAGTACTCAGTATTGCGCGGCAACTACCTAAATAAAGGAAAACGCTGTTTATACATACTTTTTTTTCTTACTCTTTTTTCTACCACTCAATACTTCTAGGCTCTAGCTGTTTATTAATGACAGAATTCTTTATTTTCTCGAAAATTTGAATAACATGTTCACTTCATTGTTTTCCAGAATTAAAAAACCAGAAACATTTTTCTAATAAGGAAACGGAAAATGTCAAATAGATTCTCTAACTTTCATAAAATGGTCAATTAAGTACTTCTAGAGGAGGTTCTGTCCGGCCGTCGCGATTTGGGTAGTTCCCGGTGGAATTTTTTGATGAAATTTTTTGAGCATCTTATTCACCAAGTCTAGTTTACTCATACCAAATTTCAGCTAAAAAATCAATCGGGAACACATTCAAATTAATTCTTGAAGATAACTGCGCATTTTTGTGTTCTCAAATATATTTGAATGCGCTCCCGATTAAATTTTTAGCTGAAATTTGGTATGAGTAAACTATACTTGATGAATAAGATGCTCAAAAAAAATTATCAAAAAATTCCACCGGGAACCGACCCAAATCGCGACAACCGGACAGAGTCTCCTATAAAAGGACTTAATTGACTTTTTATGAAAGTTCGAGGGCCTATTTATCTAAAATGTGACTAGAATATTCGTATATTCCTAATTTACACATTACACCATATGAGAGAAATAGCACCAAACACATATCATACATGCAAAACATTATTAATGTAGAAACAAAAAAAATTGTTTAATCATATTTTAGGAATTATCATCTCTTTTAGTCATACTCCTAGCAATTTTCTCTTCAAAGTTTTCTACATTTGTATATATACTGGACCATGTTCAAGTTAACTCGCGTACTACAATCGAGACGACTCTTTTGAGACATTGACAATAAAGATGGCATTTTTATTAGAAGTCGAGATCATTTTTTTCAATCCCCATATTCATGTTAATTCGTCTCCTAGATCACGAGTCGAGATGATATTTTTTGTTCAATCACAAGTTCACAACCATGAAGATATTTTTATTACTAGTCGATATGACATTTTTTACTAGTATTTTATCAAGTCAATATGTTAACAAAATATCCATTCAGATGAAATTAATTTTATTGTCAGTGAAATCTTTGTTTGATGATGACAATTTGAATTAGGCCTTCATAGAGGCTAAGCTATGGCCTCATACTACTTGCCATAGTTACTAGAAAAGGATGCACCATCCCCAAGGACCCAGTCACCCAGAACCGGCCGGACTTGGTTTGACAATGAGGTGGTATGGAGCAGCCGTGGTTTACTAGAAAATTGTGCTGACCGTTGTTGCTCTCTTTTACGTATAGGGGTGTCTTTCATTCCATAAAAAATCTGGACATCAAGATAGTCTGAAAAGGTTGGATTTCAGTATAAACAAATTTCTAGAAACCCAATTCAATACGTTAGTCATCTCCAGAAGAACACAAAATATCAACAGACAACAGCAATGGGTTCACACTATACACATTTTGGTTTTAGATCACTCTCAGGCAAAATCTCCAGATGCCATTTTTTCACCAGAAGTCATTACAAGAGCATTTACCATCTCTGAAATGATGAAAGCGCTTGGTGTCCCTGACTATCAGCTCTCTGCCCACAAGCTTAGACATAACCTTTATCGCGTTGTGGCAGTCACCACATATCCTAAGGTTCTTCATGATTCTAAGAGTTGTCCTTGCAGGAGTTTTAATTAGACCATATGCAATCGCCAAACGCTCACTGTGATACATCAGAGCCTTCTCCTTGGCCTCCTCATCAATGTCATGCAGCACATATCTTGTGTCTGGTACATACAGTGAATCTCTGAGTTGCCCACTCTTATTATATGACTCTTCCTTGTATGCACTTGGATTCTTGAAAGCAAAAATTCGTCTATTGTCTTCAAGCATGTTGAGCTCGGAGTGTCTCTTTTGCAATGGAACAGGGACCATATCTATTATAGTCCTTGAGGGATCTAATCCTATTAGTATCTCCTCGGCTCGATCTTCAAGCTCCATATCTCCGTGTATCCGAGCGAAATTCAGAATCGCTTCCCACACTTCAATGGTAGGGTTTATGGGAATGTTCTCTACAAACTCCATAGCTTCGGGCAGATGGCCGGCTTTCCCCAAAATATCAAGAACGCCTAAATAATGCTCAATTCCTGGGACAATGCCAAACCCCTTCTTCATCAACTCGAAGTAGAACAAACCTTCCTGTACGGCTCCCGCACTCGCACAAGCAGAAAATAATGCCACGAATGTCTCTCCAGTGGGTTTGTTGGGCTCAAGTTTCCTCATTTGCCCGAAAAGAAGCAGCCCCTTTTCCCCTTCACCGTTTTCCGCATACCCAGTTATCATAAGATTCCAAAGGTCCAACTTTCGTTGGGTCATTCTATCAAACACCTTTCGCGCATTCACCATGTCCCGGCTCTTCACATGCACCTCAACCAGTCTCCCACTCAATTCGAGATTGCTACTGTAATCAGACTGCACCAGAAGCTCATGAACCCTTTTCCCTAGCTCAAAGGAACCCGAATTCGTGCAGAAATCCAAAATCAACTCGAAAACACGAAAACTGGGACGCGAGCCTCGTGAAATGTATCCAATCGCTTCTTCGATCTTTCCTTCATTACACAACCCAATCAGGTCGATTTTGACTTCCGGCGGACTATTGGCGTCCGGAGGCAATGGACCGCTATCGCGTTCAACGGTAGTGGTGTGTTTTTGGTAGTTGTCTCTGCGGGTTCTGGGAGATCCGGATGGCGGAGGGTGACGGGTAGTGCTGCGCCGCGAGTGAGCGGCTCTGTTGGTTTTGGTGAGGTAGCGGGAAGCAGAAGAGCAAAGGGACTTGAAAGAAAGTTGAGCTGAGCGGTGAGAATGGAGTGAGTACGGTAGGATGAGTTTGAGGGAGTTTCCGGTTGTGTGGATTGAGAGAGACGTCATCCTGTGGTGTGAAAGCCTTAGAGGCGCAGATGTTTTGTGTCTGCACATGTCTTGCTTCTAAACTGGTCTGGTTTATTGCTTTGATTAGAGTAGCTACCTGATCTTCCATTTTTCATTTTCAATCCTAACTAAATCATTTTTCCATTTCTAAATCTTCACATCATACTTTTAATAATTTTAAAGATGATACACTATTACACCTACTTTTTTTAGATTTATCTTTCATTTCATCACATTATTTCATGATCATGTCATACTCTAAATAATTAGTATCCTCTTTCCTTATTCATAATAATATCACTCACTTTCAAAGTGTGGTAAGATTTTGGGAAAACTATCAAATAAGCCCCTGTACTGTACCGAAAAAGTCGATTAGGCCCTCATACTTTACAAACACTCAATTAAGTCCTCGAACTATTAAAAAACGTTCAATTAAGCCCTTTTGGTGGGTAAGTAACCGATTTCCCGGTTAAACGGCGACGATGGCGACGATGTGCTCGAACCCCAGCAACGACGGCTTCCGGGAAATAGGTTACATTTAACCGGGAAACCGGTTACTTACCGACCGAAAGGGCTTAATTGAACGTTTTTTAATAGTTCGAGGACTTAATTGAGTGTTTGTAAAGTACGAGGGCCTAATCGACTTTTTCGGTATAGTACGAGGGCTTATTTGATAGTTTTCCCTAAGATTTTTCTAAGATCACCCTTGTGGTCTGATGTCATGATTGTGACACTCTCAGAGAGGAGGTCACGCGGGTTCAAATCTCAGATCACTATCGTTGCGATGTCCCCTTCTTTTTTATCGGTGTTCTCCCCGGCATTTTTCCCTGGGGAATTTTTGAAGAATTGGTGGAGCTCACCTCGTTGAATTAAGAGTTCAATAGTCTTCTTTAACGAGACACAATCGTCTGTATTGTGGGAGGTGCTTTTGTGGTAACGGCAATATGTGCCGCCTTGGTGGATGGCGTAGATCTCCCTCGCCGACCGAGGGTCCCTGGGGAAAAGGTCGTGCTCTTCCGCATAGTTGAGGATAGTGCTCACCGGATGCGTGAGGGGAGTCCTCGGCATGTCCATCCGAGGGCGCCATTGGCGTTCGTTACGGCCTTGCTGGGTGTGACTTCCATGGTCTCGGCCTCCGGCCGAGGGCGTATTTGGGGCCGGCGTGTTGTTTGTCTTCTTCGAGGGCTGGCCCTCATTCTTCTTGAAGGAGTGGAGGTCGTCGGCGTCGACGTATAGGCTCCCCCGATGGAGTGCTCTGAGGTATGATCTTGGGGGGTCGGTGATGAGGCTCCGTGCGTAGGGACTGCTGCGGAGAACCCCCTGGAAGAGGACGAGGAGGGTACGCTCGTCGGCGCCCTCGACCTCGTCTGTCTCCTTCATCCACCGGTCAATGAAGGACCGAAGTGCTTCGTCAGGCTGTTGCTTGACAGAGAGGAGGTGGGAGAAGTGCTTTCTCACGCGCTTCCTTCCGGCAAAATGGGTGAGGAAGCGTTGGGCAAGATCTTGCCAAGAGTCAATGCTGCCCTCGGGCAATCGGTTGAACCATTCGTATGCCGGTCCCTCCAAGGTGGAAAGGAACCAACGACATAAGTATTCATCTGATGCCCCCATCATCATCATGTTGTTTTGATACCTGTTGTAGTGTTCCTGGGGGTCAGTTTTTCCTTCATAGGGCTTGATAAGTTGCCCTCAGTACTTTTCCGGAATTTGGGCCGCCAATACCCTTGGGGTAAATGGCGTCCTAGTTCGGAGTTGGATGACGGGTTCCCCGGAGCCTTCGGCAAATTTCCTTTGCATCTCCTCCATTTTGGCCAACATTGCCTCATACTTGAGGTCTGTATGAGGGGAAAAAGTGGTGGCGTGTGCTTTGGTGGCCTCCATCTCGTCGAGCCGGCGCTGGAGGGCCGCAATGATTTCGTCCCGGGGGTCCTTCGGGAGGGCCTCTGCCCCCTGCAAATGGACGCGGGCCGAGTGGGCCTGATTGATTTGATGGCGGGCGTCGTTGACATGGAGAGGTGCCTTGCCTTTGTCCTGAGGGGGACGCCTTTCATTGGCCCTGGAGACGGATCCGCCACTTTCCTGAGGCATCTGGAACGCCTTCCCCCCGAGGCGGTCTTGGACCCCTCGGCGATCTTGCGCCCCTCCGAGTCTCTCGAGGGCGGAGGTTCGGAGTTGTTCTTTGTTTACGTTGTGGCGGTCCCAGGATTGGACTTCCTGGGAGGCCGTATCTTGGGCCACGACCCCCTCGGAGTTCCCAATCCGGAGGACCGGGTTCCCGAGGGGGTGTGGATGAGGGGGAGGCATAATATTCTCCCCGACCTCAGGTTGGAGGGGAACCAAAGTGCCGAAGGCACCCGGGTTCTGGGTGAGCGTCTGGATGAAAGCGGAGAGCGCCGATTGTACGTCGATTGTGATGACCAGAGGGCTAATTTGATTCTCGCTCCGGTCCTTCTTCTTGGCCTCGATGCCGAGGCGGGCATCGGAGGCATTCTGTTGAATTTGATGTCGTAGGTCGACAGCCGTCTGGTCCAACCCGGCGATGACGCCGCCCCCGGGAGCCCTGTTGGAGGCTTCGGGGACGTCGACCTCGCCGAGGGCCAGGTTCCTGTCCTCTACATTCTTGGAGTTGGCACGATTTGTTCTCACCATTTTAGCTAGGTGTTTTGTGTTTGGTCGAGGGGGAGGGTTTCTTACTTGATTGTTCGACCTCTCAACGAGAGCACCAAATGATGGATAGTGTACCCGGGGGGTAGCTTATCCGAGGGGTTATTGCGGAGAATAACTAGAGAGAAGTGAGAGCAAATAAGTAAGAGAGAGAGAGAGTGTATATTCGATATGTATTAAGTGTGGTTTACAATGAGGGAAAGGGGTGCTATTTATAGTAGTAATAAATGCTAGATAAGGACACGTGTCAGTTTTCTGGTGGTCGAGGGGTCACCTCGACCGGGGTGGCACTGGCACTCGCATGTGGCCGCATTAAATGCGGTGGTTGGATGTGACGTTTGTACTTGGTACGGTGATCCAGGCGCATGTGAAGAGGATATTCTGTCGAGGTGGATGCCTTCGGCTGAAGGGTGCTGGGCCGAAGGCTCTTCTAACCGAGGGCTCTTACCTGCCGAGGGCTGCAGGTGTCGAAAGCTTGGTTTTCAAGCCTTGTTCTCATGTGATGCCTCTTCTAACCGAGGGCTCCTACCTGCCGAGGGCTGCAGGTGCCGAAGGCTTGGTTTTCAAGCCTTGTTCTCTTGTGATGTCTCTTCTAACCGAGGGCTCCTACCTGCCGAGGGCTGCAGTTGCCGAAGGCTTGGTTTTCAAGCCTTGTTCTCCTGTGATGCCTCTTCTAACCGAGGGCTCCTACCTGCCGAGGGCTGCAGTTGCCGAAGGCTTGGTTTTCAAGCCTTGTTCTCCTGTGATGTTTCTGAGCTCGATTCCGTCACTGGTAGCCTTCGGCCATGGGGCCGAAGGCACCCCTTTGCGTATTGTGGGCTGCTTAGAGCTCCATTTTTCTGGGCTTGGCCCGTTTGGGCCTGTTGGGCCTGATTGTAGTAGAGGAAGTATGTGGGTCGGGGGTCCCTGGGCCATATACTCCATCAATCACCATTATTATTAATCGAATATATTTGATTAATATTTGAATCGAATACACTGATATTCTTATTTGTATTTGATAACAACTCGAATCAAATTTAATATTCTTATTTGTATTTGTATTTGAATTTTCCGAATTCGAATCATCTTATATGAATTCGAATCACAAATCGAGCACAAATTATTTGATTCGTTTACAACCCTAAATTACCCGCACGGGTAGCTCAGTTTCGTTGAGTGCCAGGAATTTGGATCAAGGAACCCTGGTTCGAGTCCCCGCAACGACCGTGTGGAGGCCACGGCCTTTGAAACGGGCTGGACCTCTGGCGCGCACGAGACATATGAGCCTACTGATGTTCCGCCTACTGAGTCACCGTGATTCATCTCCACGTGCCCTGTCGGGGTGTGGGGGCTCGGTGGGAGATTCCACCTTCGACCAAGAAAATCAAAAATGATGTTTGTACACACTCTTATACACACTTTTGTACACACTTATGTCTGTGAAAGCTTTTTTTTTGTCTGTGAACATCGATTCACAGACAATATTTTGCACAAAAAAATTAGGTGTGTACAAGAATGTTTTACACACCTATGTTTTACACAATGTTTTGAACCCGGTTCACAGACAAAAAAAAAACTTCACAAACATGATGTGTATAAGGTCTGTACATATTACAAGAAAATTAGAGTGCGTTTTCTTGATTAGGGTCTATCAATCAATGATGAACTTTGACAATGTCTCTATCACCTGTTTGTCTGTATTACTGTAACCCTCGACTAATCTCTATCCTATTTCCCACGATGCATTATTGCCACTCAGATACTATAGACAGGCAATTTCTACAGTGCTGGTCACCTATATCTTTCTCTGAATAAAGAATTAAAGATTCCCCTGAATGTTTCAATTCGCTTCATCACGCTATATAGCATCCATCCATCCACCGCGAATTCGAAACTAAGGATGCTCGCCGGGAAATTGCAGTACGCTTCACCTCTTACGCCGCACCCGCCGACGGACTTGGCGGATGAAGCAAGCTGGGTGTGGACGCAGATTAAGGCCGAGGCTCGGCGCGACGCCGAGGCGGAGCCTGCTCTGGCTAGTTACTTGTACTCCACCATACTTTCACACTCGTCTCTGGACCGTTCCGTTTCCTTCCACTTAGGGAACAAGCTATGCTCCTCCACGCTCCTCTCCACGCTCCTCTACGATATCTTCATCAACGCTTTTTCAAACGACTCGGAACTCCGCGCCGCCACCGTCGCTGATCTCCTCGCCGCTCGCTACCGGGACCCTGCCTGCGTTTCCTTCTCTCACTGCCTCCTTAATTACAAAGGCTTTCTAGCTTCCCAGGTCTGTCATAATTTCTGGTTTGCAAATTTCCATTTTCTGAATAGGCTTTGACTTTTGTGTCATGCTGTTGTTATTTTTATGTTTTGTGGTGTTAATGATTGGAAATCTGTGCTGTTCAATAGATTATTATCCTGTGTTCATTTCTAGCAATATTAATTACGGATTACTATTTTAGCCTTTAGAACAAACTCAAGTTAATGAAGTATCTTGAATTCTTGATACGTTTGACACTGTGTGAGATCAGATAGGTTTATGCTTTAAGTAGAAAATGGTAGGCTATGGGTTTAATTTTGAAAATGCTTATGAGGATGCTCTGAAAGGTGAAGCTTGGTTGGATATATTTAAGGAACACATACATCGATTATAGACCTGTTTAGTTGATTATTACAGTACTAACTTGCAAAGCTCAAGGTTAAACGTGGTATATTCATGAAGGGATGTTGTTATCTGTTTACGCCATCAATAATATACTTGAACACTGAATACATATACTCCGTAGTATACAAGATTCATGACAAAATCCAAAGCACTGTGATGGGCCTGATGTCACAGTGGCAACTTATGAAATGAAAATCTTGTATTCTTAAGGTACCACATGTTTCATGTTTGATTTAATTTTGAACTTTGTACAAGTAAAGCTCTTACAGTGGATAACTCAGATCATATGAGTTTAAACATGCTCTCTGAGGGCCTGAGTGTTCTCCACTTTTATCTTATTGAGTTTTGTGGGCAATGGCGTAGCTAGAAGGCATGCTACACCACTATTTGTGGGTTGTTAACCATTTCAGCTTTCCTATAAGAAAATATAACAGAACCCTGTTCAAAGCTTTTAAAACTAATGATACAATACAGAGTTTAATCTTAGATACTGAATACATCATAATCCACTCCAGTTACGTATGATCTATGGACCTAATGTGCTGAGAATGTGTAATAATTAATGTGAAAACCTAAAATTTTGTTTGTGGCATCTTTGTTTTCCTTTTTTCTGTTTTTCGGATTCACTTTTCTGAAAATATAAACAAGAAAACGTGTTAACTGAAAACAGAAACATAATATTGAAAATTATCGGAAAAAGACATTCTGATTTTCTTTGTTTTTAAAATGCCTTTCTGATTCTGACACTGTTTGTAAAACATACTACATACTTCACACACACACACATATCATACATTTTCATTATAAATATTACTAGTACATTATTACTACATAAATTATGCATATCACATACTCACAATAGATTTGCTGAACATGTATTCCTCTGTCCAAAAAAAGCGTCCACTTTGAAATAATCCTACTTCAACAAAAAGTAATCTTTTTGTTAGTTACACCAACAAGTATATTTATAAATAGTATTACGTTTGATGATTCCAATGAGTTGTACATTGGTGAAATATGATTCCCTTTTTCTTGTGGGGGGGAGGGTTTTTGTGTTTGAAATTTGATTGCAAAGTAGAAGGAAATAGAAACAATATTTTACACAACATGATAGGCTAAAAATCTTTTACCATACTACTACATCAACAAAAGGTGGTTGATGAGGTTGTTGTATGTCTCAGGCACATCGAGTCTCTCACAAGCTTTGGAACCAATCTCGTAGGCCCCTCGCTCTTGCACTTCAATCGAGAATCTCAGATGTTTTTGCTGTTGACATCCACCCAGCCGCAAAGATTGGAAAAGGCATCCTTTTTGACCATGCAACAGGAGTCGTGGTTGGTGAGACAGCTGTTATTGGAAACAATGTCTCAATACTCCACAACGTAACTTTAGGAGGCACCGGTAAGATTGGTGGTGACCGCCACCCTAAGATTGGTGATGGAGTGCTGATCGGTGCAGGGGCAACAATACTTGGAAATGTATGCATTGGAGCGGGAGCCAAAATCGGGGCTGGTTCAGTAGTATTGATGGACGTGCCTCCACAGACAACCGCAGCGGGGAATCCAGCAAGGCTAGTAGGAGGAAAGGAACAGCCAACTAAGCATGAGGAAGTTCCTGGAGAGTCGATGGACCATACCTCTTTTATTTCTGAATGGTCTGATTACATAATCTGATATCTCCTCCAAGTTCTGTTTCTACATTTCTTATGCATTTCGCCTTATATTTAACATAGCTTGCTTTTATAGCACTAGTAGATAATTTTTATGCACTAGGTGCGGATGCTGATATTTGATATCCCATTCGATAACATTGACATAGGTCGAATTCGCTGAGAATGACGAAGTTATAACATGCTGAAATTATGGCTGAATGGACTGGATTTGCAAACTTATGAAGAAACAAAGTTACTCTCGTATAAATTATACCAGTATAAAGAATGATGTTACCGCCAGCCAATTCAGTCAAATGAATTTTTCTTTATTAATGAATAAAGAAAACTACCTCCAGTCCTGCTTTTTCCAATAAGACTAGTAAGACAAACAATGTTACCGAAGTACCAAACGGACATTAAGACATTAAGTGGTCTCTGCAATTATTGTACCATTTTAGTTGATTGTTGAACTATTTAGTTTCTGTACTGTATACTTGTATAGTATATATAGTGAAATAAAGGTGAATGGTTTTGGACCTCTTTATGATGTTTTAGTCAATGGGTTGTATTCAGTTCGGCACTTCTGCATGAAACCATTCAAAGTTTTATTTAGGCTATATTTATCAATTGGCATGTTACTTTAGCTCAAAGTAAGCTGAATTTTTTAAATATAGCTAAATTTAATTGAAGTATTGTCTGGAAAATAGTTGAACTAAACTTAAGCTGAAAATAATTGGCTGGCTAAGAACGTTACTATGCCCAGCGTTTCAATTCAGCCGATCGTACAATTTCCCTATCAAAGACAAAAGTCACAAAACTATCCCTACACGCCCGCTGGAAAATTCTAGCAGTCTCTGCTGAGTGCTGATGTCTTTTACAGATTTCCCTTTGCCTTCTTCTCCTTGTTTTTGGGGTAAGGTATGGTGTCTTCAAATTTTTCCTCTTGTTCATGTAGATTGTGTAGTGTTTTTAAATTTCTCCTAGTGAAGCTCTTCTTCTATATGATAATAACGAATTTCCCAAAATTTGGATTCAATTCCATGCTTTTTCTTGGGGTTTATACGTCCAGAGGCCATAACTTATTTGAAAAAAAAGTTATTTGTATAGAGGGTTTTTTGAAAGAAAATTGCTTATATCATACATATCAAAGAAAACAACGTCCCCACAATCACAATAAACCAAGCCCCCTATCCTATGACTCTATGAGACTTCGCATAGCCAAACGGCTTTCTGACTAAATAGAGAATAGACTACCCAAGGGTGATCTTAGAGTGTTGAACCCGCATGACCTCCTTTTTTATCGGTGTTCACGCCTCATAACCATGTGAGAGTTTCGAAGCTTTTACCGGCCATACAAGCCTCATCGCTTCCATCAACAAAACTAACCTGAAAAATGATAACACAACCAAAGAACCTATCACTATTGTTCACAAAAATACCAATGCAAAAGTACTTAAAAGAACAAAAATAAATGCAATAAAAATAAACTATCTTAAGGTCCCCCCTTCTCTCCTCCCCTCACAATGTGTTTGGATGGGGTTCAATGTGTTTGGATGGGGTTCAGAACTGTGTTTGGCGAGCCACAAAGTTGTGGCTCACCTCTTTCTCATTTTTTGCCCGAGCTTGCTCTACCTCCATTTCCTCGCTGAATGAAGGACCTCGTGATTCCTCCACGTGTCTGCGTTTCTGTTCAAGTTCCCCCCCACTCCCTAGATTCCCGCCCTCCGACATGACCACCTGGTTGTTCTTTGTGGAGCCTTCAATTCGAGACTTGCATGATCGCTATTGTTGTGCCCTTTCCTCGCCAGAATGAGCCATTTGTTCTTCATCAGTTGCATTCCCCCCTTTGCTGCCCTGAGCCACACACCGAAAGGCTTCTCTCCAGCTTCCTCACTACCTGTCATCTTACGAGGACAATGGCTCTCTAAATGACCTATTACCCCACATAGGAAACAAAAGCTTGGCAATTTCTCATATTGAAACTCGACACAAAAGTTGATCCCCTCCTCCTTGTGCAAGAACAACTTTCGTTTTAAAGGCTTTCCCAGATCAAGGCTGACATGGATTATCGTAAAAGGATTCCATTCAACAGAAAAATTGTGTTCATCCACTTTTATAAAATGCCCCCCAAAAATTCCAATTCGTTTAGCATTAGTTATGGTAAAGTAACCTACCGGTATGTCATGGACTTGAACCCAAAATTCAGCTCTATTCAAAGGAACAGACATGGGGAAATCTCTTTCTTTCAATTTACTCGTGACAATTAAGCTCTAATAAAAAAATCCATGGTCCCTCTTTTACTACTCTATTCATATCATCCTCATTATAAAATTGAAACATACATCTTCTAGATCCTATGTCCGTTATGGTGACACCTTCACAAGTGTCCATACAGATGGCATAATATCTCGAAAACTAGTGAAACATACCAATTTTTCTGACGTAATTGTTTCTACAAGCGCGAGGCTGTAACAGGAGGTGTACTGTACTGTCAATGATGAGGAATATTCAACAAGAGCCTAACTCCATTGCTAAATGTGAAAGAAGGAAAGATAGCTATTGAAGGAAATGTCGAACTGGTTTATTTATTATCTCCATCGTTATTTAATTCATACACAGTACAATTTAGTTAGTTTTTACATCCATCTCATTTTTATAACAACTAACTTTCTAACTAATTGACTGACAACAACTAACGGTGGGTAAGACTACTGTTACATTCCTCACCGCTTGAAAAAAACTTGATTGGTCCTCAAGTCAATCCAATGCTCCACCAACATCAAAATCAGGATACTCATTCTTGAATGTCTCTATTGGTTCCCAAGTAGCTTCTTCAACAGAAAAGCCCTTCTATTGTACTAAAAATTGTACTTGCACCATATTCTGGAACCTGACACTCCTCCTGTCAATAATCCATTCAGGCTGAGGCAAGATTTCGGCAGATTGATCTCTGAACCATGTTGGAATATGAGCAACTATAGGCAGTTCCCCTCTAACTTCTGTAGATGTGATACATGGAAGACGTCATGTATGTGAGATTCTGCAGGTAATTTGAGTTTATAAGCCACCTTCCCAATATTCTTCTTTTTGTGATACATGATTTCATATGGTGTAGTACCAACTGAAGTTTGAAAATGGGTATTAAACCACCATTCAGTCAATGGTAACCACAAACTCCATTCCTTAGGCTTATCACCACTCATGCATCTCAAATATGCTTCTAAACATTTATTAACTACCTGAGTCTATCCATTAGTTTGTGGATGGTAGGCAAATGATAGTTTGAATTGGGTTCCTTATATAGAAAACAGTCCCTTCCAGAACTGACTCAAGAATACAACATCTCTATCACTTACAGTGCTCTTAGGCCAGCCATGCAATTTGAATATATTATCCAAATAAGGTTGAGCTACTTCCAATGCAGTAAAGGGGTGAGATATGGCCACAAAATGAGCCCCTTTACTAAGTCTGTCCACCAATACTAGTATCACATTCCTCCTTTGTGATTTAGGTAATCCGGTTATGAAATCCAATGAAATATCTACCCAAACTTCTTCTGGAATGGGTAAAGGTTGTAACAAGCTCGGATAGGAAATGCTTTCATTCTTCTTATAGTTGCATCTCTTCCAGAATGCCCTGCTTCTGCAGATGTGTGATGCCAATTCAGAATCTTATTCTTCATATTAACATCATTTCCAATGACAATTTTCCATTTCTTCTCAATAATCCATTGTGGGCAGAATATTTACCCACTGATTGGTCCTGCTGCAACAACTGAATCACTGCTACCAAGTGGTCATCCATAGTATAACTATCTTTGATTTGCTACTCTAAGTCTGATGCTATTAGAGATACTGTCATTCACAATATTTCAGCCCCTTGGACCCTTGATAAAGCATCGACAACTACATTTTCCTTGCCACTTTTATATTGGATTTCATACTCAAAACACATTAGTTTAGACAACCAAAATTGTTGGAATGGAGTACTTTTTTTTTGTTCCAATAGCCATTTAAGACTTTTCTGATCAGTCCTTATAATAAAGGGTTGAGAAATTAGGTATTGTTCCCATTTCTGCACAACAAATACAATTGCTAGTAATTCCTTCTCATACACAGACAATTTTTTCCATTTAGCTCCCAAGGACCTGCTTATGTATGCCAAAGGATGATCTTCTTGCATTGAAACTGCTTCAATTCCTTCATTGGATGCATAAGTTTCTACCACTAAAGTCTTTGACAAACCTAGAAGTGCCAATACTGGAGCAGACGCCAATGCCACCTTTAATTTCTAAAAGGCAATCTGAGCTTCATTATTCCACTCAAAAGCTCCCTTTCTTAATAAGTTTGTCAAGGGTTTACTTATAACTCCATAAAACCTGACAAACTTCCTATAATAACCAGCCAATCCAAAGAAGCTTCTCAACTGTTTAACTGAATTAGGAATATGCCAATTAGAAACTGCCTCAACTTTTCTGGGATCTGTTTCAATGCATGTTCCTGAGATAAAGTGCCCTAAGTACTCAACTTCATGCATAGGAAAGGCACATTTAGAAGCATTAACATACATCTGGTTATCCTTCATAATCTGAAAAACCATCCTTAATGCTTCCAATGATCATCAATGTTTTTGATGTATACTAATATATCATCAAAAAACACTAATATAGACTTCCTTAGTAAAGGTTTGAACACCGAATTCATCCAATTCTAAAATGAAGCTGGTGCTTTTGTTAATCCAAAAGACATCACTAAAAACTCATAATGTCCTTCATGAGTTTTAAAAGTTGTCTTATGAACATCTTCTTCATTCATTATTAATTGATGATATCATGCTTTGAGGTATAATTTGCTAAAGACTGTAGAACCAGCAAGTTCATCAATCAATTCATCTAAGATTGGTATGTGAAACTTGTTCTTTATAGTCCTCTTATTTAACTCCTTGTAGTCAACACATAAGCGCCGTATCCCATCTTTCTTTCCAATCAAAACCACTGGAGAAACACATGGGCTGGAACTATTTTGAATAATTCCATGTTCATGCATTTCCTTCACCAAGCTTTCAATAATACCCCTTTGTCTTAATGGATATCTATATGGCCTTATGTTGACCGGGTTAGTTCCTTGTTGTAGAGGTATTTTGTGGTCATATATTCCTCTAAAGGGAGGTAAGAATTTAGGTTCTTCAAAAACCACCTCGTATTGATGCAACATTTTTTGTAATTAACCTGAATATTGACTCTCCATCACCTCTATTGCAGTGCAATCAATTTTTGTATCTTGTTCATAACCAGGTACCAGTTGTAACAAGAAGATTTGAGTAGCCTGATCAAGGATTTTTTCAGACTTTTGATCAGATAATGATTTCAATTTAGGAGTCGATAACCCCTGAAGACCACTGGTAATCCTTGCCACTCAAATTTCATTATCAGATTCTTGAAATCCCACTGGATTGGTTCTAACTCTGTGAGTCATTGTACTCCCAATACCATGTGACAGCCCCCCAAAGGTAGTAATAAGACATCATTTGTAAAATAATGTTGTTGTATATCCAATTGAAGTCTTTACACATGCTTTGATAGGGTAAATGGTTGCCATCAGCCACAATCACTGTCTGTGTCTTCATCTTTTCTATTTTAAGTCCCAGACTA